TTTTGCAGTGTTTATATTGATATCCAGAAAGCAGGACAAATGGATTTTCAGGACTCTCTGACGGAATTTTACAATTCCACTAAATTAATATTGCATACTTCCTCCAAGCTCCCAATGGCAAATGAAGAGTTAATCAAGGCTGCATCTGCATTGCGGAAATAACGTAGTTTGACATTGATTTAACTGCCATGAGTGGGAATTCTGGGGATTGTACTTTTGTGACATGTTTAGCCTTCTATGTCAGAGCTCTGATGCCACAGTGAACTACAAATCCCATGATTCCACAGGATGGAGCCAAGACAGTTAAAGTGGCTTCAAACCGCATTAATTCTGCAGTGCAAATGCAGTTCAAGTTTCCTTAATGATGCTGTGAAATTAGGCCAGCCTGATCGATAGACAGCCCAAAGGCCACTAGCCACCATCCTAGACCTACTTAGCTGGAAATAAAACCCACTGAATGCAATGGGACTGTTTCAGTATACATGGAAAAAAAGGTGTCCTCTGGCTGCCAGAGAATCTTCTCTTGGACTATTGTTAACAGTGCTGCAGAGATGCAGAGAATTTATTTACTGAAGGCATTTGTTTATCACCTCTTGATATGCCAGGTCCCCTGAGGTGATGTACGATAAAAATATTTAAATCATTAAATACATGATTAATAGCAAACTAAAATTCTTCTTTTTAAAAAAAGTTCTAAAATCACAGACAATTATTTTTAAAAGTTAAAAACAGCTAAAAACAGCCAGAGTAGCCACCCTTAATATTAAGAATCAAAGGCCATGCTTTTGTTGCCCACTGGAGGTTTTTTTCTTATCTGGAGCCAGCTGATAAGCTGGACTTCCATGGGTGTTGGTGCAAAGAAAGCCTTGTCCCTGCCTACCTTTAAGTGGGGATGGAGCCATCAACAGTGCCCCTACTAGGAAACTTGTATGAAGGGGGTACAGAGATGGGCTACAGTGGTCAAGCAGCAGGCAAGACCAGAATCCCTAATTGCCTCACTTCCTAGATTGGTAATTAAAAAGATTTATTATCATCAATATTCTCCTTTAAAGCCTCTAAACTTTGAATCCAAGAGAGCTCCAAAGACCACATGAAATTAGCTACTTACTACATGCCAGATGAATCATTCTTCTCATAAATCTTCAAAAATAATGGATGAGAAGAATGGTGGATACTTAAAAGAGGGGAGAAAAACTCTGGTTGAATCCTGATCATGAATAGATATCAGGCTATTAAGCCAGGGAAACACCACTATGGAGGACCATGTCGAAATATTTAATAATCCTATCAGACAAAGCAGAGTATAGGCTGTGTTTTGCCACTTCCAAGACCTTTACAAATATCACCAGGCATCCTTTGCTTACCCTTAGCTGTATCATAGACGCCAAAATATGCCGCTCTGTAGATAATGATGCCCTGGACTGACACATTGAATCCCAAGTAGAGACCTCTGAGGCCATCAGATTTGTAGATCTTGGTAATACAATTGCCCAGCCCACTGAACTGCCTCTCGTTCAGGCCTTTGCCCACATCGGCCGCTAGCCTGGTCCTGGCAAAATCCAGAGGGTAAACGAAGCAGAGAGATGTTGCTCCTGCAGCACCCCCAGAGGCCAGGTTGCCAGCAAAGTAACGCCAGAACTGCTTGTGCCTATCCACGCCCCCAAGGAAGATCTGCTTGTACTTGTCCTTGAAAGCAAAGTTGAGGGCCTGAGTGGGGAAGTACCGGATGACATTGGCCAGGTTGCCTCTCCAGAAGGAAATGATGCCTTGCTCCTTGGGGATCCTTACCACACAGTCTATGATCCCCTTGTATTGGGTTGCAGCTGTGATCTGCTGGCTGGCATGCTGGACCTGTTGAAAGGAGGAAGAGCAGAGCAGGAAGGGGAAGAAGACGAAAGGAGGATCGCTGTGACTCATGTCATGGTTTGTTGTGGTGTCTTCAAGTCATTTCTGATTTATGGCAACCCTAAGGTGAACTTATCATGGGGTTTTCTTGGCAAGATTTGTTCAGAGGAGGTTTGTCATTGCCTTCCCCTGAGGCTGAGAGTAAGCGATTTGCCCAAGGTCACCCAGCAGGTTTCATGGCCAAGTGAGGCATTGAACTCTGGTCTCCAGAATTGTAGTCCAACAATATTCAAACCACTACATTATGCTGGCTCTCTTACAATGTCTTTATGGAAAGAAACAGCCATTCTCATTTTTGCAATGGCAGCCTTATCTTTCACTGTCATTTGCTGGCAAAGTTGGCCATCTGCTTCATACAGGACAAGTGCACAACAGTTGCACAGAATGCCCAACTATGATCACTTAACTTGAGCATCAGAACTGGGTAGTTTCTCTTCCTCCATCAAATAATTATTCTTCACCTCACCATAGAAAATGTTTGCTAACTTATATCCATTATTGTACATAAAGCTTTAATTATATTGGTTATTTTGGGGTTTTTTTTAAGGCTGGATCTACAACATAAAAAAGGTGATGCTATTTTCAGCAAGAAGGGAAATTATCATGTCACATCATCTTTCTTCCATCTACCGGTATATAACACCATCTCAAGAAAAGTCCTTCAGTTGACCTCTGTCCACTCTCACACCACGTGTAGCAAAATGCATGTATATATTGGTCTAGTCCAATATTACTGGAACGTACTGGTCTGGAATCCAAATTCTAGTCCCCATTGCCAAGAAAACCTCACAGGAAGACCTTAGTCTATGTCTCTTTTGCCTTGATCCACTTCACAGGGACAATGGCATGTAAAGGGATCTTTAGCACCTTTGAGATCAACTGTGCGAAAGAAGTTGCTTGTAGACTTGATACAGCTGAGTTTATGAAAGTTTATGAAAGCTCATGCTACAACTTATTTTGCACAATTAGCCTCAAAGGTGCCACAAGAACATTGATATTCCAGACTAATATGGCTATGTCTCTGAATTCCACCTTGCAAGGACACTGTGAGGACAAATAGGATATATAGGAGCTATTTATTCTCCCTTGAATTCATTAAAGGAAAGGCAGGATTTTAATGAAAGTTTGTGCTTGTTGTGTGCCTCCAAGTTGTTTCTGATTTATGGCAACCCTAAAGCGGATTAGAAAACCCTAATCCTTAGGGTTAGGATAGAAACCCCTATCATGTGGTTTTCTTGGCCAGATTTGTTCAGAGGAGGTTTGCCCTTCCCCTGAGGCTGAGAGCATGTGACTTGCCCAAGGTCACCCAGTGGGTTTCGTGGCCGAGCGAGGAATCGAACCCTGGTCACCAGAGTCATAATCCAACACCCAAACCACCATAACAACACACACAAGTATATTAAAACATACATGTGCAAACACTATTTTTCACTGACATTACATTGACATTAGGCTTTCAGGACAATTTTTAAAAAGTTTGAGTCTTTTGATTAATGATGGGTATTTTTGGGATTTTGTAGCATATGCAGTAGTACCTCCCCCCTCCGCATGAGAGCAAATTACCCAAGATCTGAAGGCATGTCTTCCAATACTTTGTACACTTGCTGCTCTGTGCTATAAACAGAGCAAAGGGAGGGAAGGGGGTGGTGGCAAGCTGTGCTGGTCTTGTGTAACCAGAACTGCACAAGTGGAGTTTCCATATTTAGTCACTTCAAGCTTGTGCCCATCTGACTCCAAGAATTCCTGCTCCTAGCCTCCCAAGTCAGATGTCCACACGCCTCTTGCTGTTAAAAATGCAACCCTGACTTGGCTTTGGGAGAGGGAATTCATCTCAGAAGGAACTCGTGCCTTTGTAAGACCTAGGCTGGATTCACATTAGAGAATTAACCTGGTTTGAGCCCACTTCAACTGTCATGGCTCCAGGCTATGGAATTCTGGGGGTGGTATTTTGTAGGGATCTCAATCTGGACAGTCAAGAAAGAAGATAGGAGGAAAATCAATTAATTTGAGACAATGTGGTGCTGGAGAAGAGTGCTGAGGATCCCATGGACAGCCAAAAGGACAAACAAGTGGGTCCTAGAGCAGATCAAGCCAGAGATAACCCTAGAAGCCAAGATGACAAGACTTGGGCTGTCCTATTTTGGACATATCATGAGAAGGCATGAATCATTGGAAAAGGCAATAATGTTAGGAAAGGTGGAGGGAAGTAGAAAGAGAGGAAGGCCACATACTAGATGGATGGACTTGATTAAAGAGACCATGAATATGAGTTTGCAGGAGCTGGGCAGAGCAGTGGAGGACAAGGGGGGCTTGGAGATGTCTCATCCATAGGGTCGCCATGGGTTGAGATCAACACAAA